TCATATATGGCTGCCACTCCACCTCCTCGGCCAGTGCCTCGAGGAATGTGAGTATTAATATGACTGGGGGGGTGGATTAATTTAGGCTAACATACTCCTCGTGGGACAACCAGGTCTCAGTAAGACAAAGTAAATCAATATCATAATCTGATATTCATTCGTTATTCGTCATTACCACCCATACCCTTATTACTTCGACACTTATAATAATTAATAATTGATAATTATTTCCTCAGAACAGTGAAAATAAATGTATCATTGAAAACAAAACCAGAACTGAAAAAGGAAACATTGGCACTGATACACTTGTATTGAACAATGATTTATTGCAACTGAAACAAGTATTGGCACTGAGTTGAGAACCCCCCAAAAAAAAAAGTTAATTTCATAATATATTGACAATATTTGAAGTTAAGTTTAAGTTTGATTTTTTTCTTCATGTCAGTCTTTTTTCAGTTATTTTTATGCTGACAGGTTTTCTTCAATGACAGTGCCCCCCCCTCAAACACACACATATATAAATATTAATAATACATATATTATATGGAAAAGCTCAATCTAGAAATAATGTAATATTATTGCTACAAAAGTAATGTATAGGAGACATCAGTTCACACAGCAAACTCAAAGTACATATCAAACAACACTTAAAGAGGACTTCCACCTGAAACATCCACCAAAGAGATCAGCAAGATGGGGATATTGAACAGTGATGACAAACAGTAGTATTATAGTAGTAGTATAATAAAAAGTATAATAGTAGTATTATCTATGCTGGCTTCTGTTTAAATCATCAGTTAGATCATCAGTTTTACTAAAATGTACCTGTGCACTCATGGACACAGTGCAATTGCTGGGCTGGGTGGATTAGCTTCTGGGCCAGTATAATAAAAGCATGGATAGCATTACTCAGAACATCTTATTATCCCATCAGTTCATTGTAGTGTTTCTTCACCTCTGCAAGCTCCACTGTAACATCTTGAAAAGAAAAGAAAAAACGTGTTATTGTCAGGTGCACAATTAATTACACTATAGTTCAGTTGCTAATTTATCTATCTATCTTCTATCTATAAAGCAAGGAATCTCTGTCTGTCTGTCTGTCTGTCTGTGTGTGTGTGTGTGTGTGTGTGTGTGTGTGTGGCTCAAATATCTCTGCAGATCAGGATCAGACTGACCTGAGAGTTTCAACATGACTGCTGTGTGGTTTAAGGGTGTGCAACGTTGGCTTTGTTTGGACCACAAAGATACAGTTGATAAATTATTTCATAAATTATTTAGAATTCCGCTAGCATTACCATAGCCACCATAGCCACCATAGCCACGTGCGCACCAGAGCCAATCACTGCAGAGCCCTAATGTGTAATGATTGAGATCCTGACCCACCAAACATCCTGGAAAGTGACGAAGTTACGTTTTTCACTCTAAATTACATAATTATACATAATCCCCAGCAGTAAACTGGACGCTGTCTGACTCCCTCACTCGCAAGACGGAGAATGTTTTCAGGTGGAAAGAAAACTGATGTCTCGGTCCAGAGGGCTGATGGTCGCGGTGATTTTTGATCACAAACACTCCGTGAGTTTTTCGCTGGTGACAGAGGCTGTTTTTCGGGCAGAAATGTGGCGAAGAGTCGGTAGGACAGGCGGGAGGACAGACAGGAGGACAGACGCTTCTCCACGTAGGTACAGCTGTGGTATTTCTTTTCTTCATATAAGTTTCCAAAGACATTTACAGTTACTACGTTACTGTTGTTTGGTCCTGTAATGTTGCTTTGTGGGACATTTCTCTTTATTAAGTTGAGTGAGAGACCTGTGCAGTTATCAGACTGTCTGACCGACACGCCCTCGCTCCGCGCTGTCGGCTTATCCATTCACACTATTTTGGTAGTTTCAAAACAATTTTTTGATGTGGAAACCCTTACTGCCATTGCTCTCTCTCTCTCTCTCTCTCTCTCTCTCTCTCTCTCTCTGATGTATGCTAGCCTATATTACAGGGCTAAATAATATGTCCTGCCCAGTTCATTTAGTAGGCTATGCTACAACTTAGTCTGTTTATGCTGCCAGGTTTCATCCCATTTCAGATGTAGTTCACTTTCTTCTTTCAGCATTTATATGCGCTGACCATGAGGTGTGGTACTTTCACATTAGTGGAATGGGGTTCAACTCCCTACAGTGTCCTTGCTAAAAGCCAAATTATATGAAAACACAATAGTTATCAATCTACACATTTCACAACAAACCTAAATGTCCCTGACGTCCCACCTTCAAACACAACCTCATTTGGCCATCCATGAAAAAGCTACCTAACCTCCCACTTTTCTATAGCAATACATACTTCCTACGGGCACTGCACTAGTTTATTTTAATAAAATATTTACTGTATTTTTAGTGATTGTCATAATTTTATTTTGCCACATTCCCTTTACCTAGGATTGAGTCCCCATCTGTTTTGAGTGAATGGTTGATTGATTTCTGCATTGTTGTCTCCAGTTTCTCCAGGATATCCTCCTAATTCAGCATAAAAAATTGTATTATCACTCACACAACAAAATATTGTATTCAAGATTAACTGAATCGTACACGAATTAATGCATGCAAAGGAAAGAATAAATTATGTTTGTGACAGTGCCTGCAGTGTTTTTAGTAGCAAATTCAGCATTTAGAATGATGTATAGTCCACAGAAAAAGCCTTCATGTGATCTAGTATTATGGATAAAGATGTGCAGCATAACATGTTTTCCTATATCATCATCATATGAAGTTTTATAAAATGTGACAAACCTTCAACCATCGCAGCTGGTTCAACATTTTATCTTTAGCCTGCTGAAACATGATGTTCTTTGAATCATGTACATGCTTCTCAATAGTGTCCCTCATGTTTTTCAGCGAGCCAGGTCCTGTAAATATTGCTGCTTCTACAATAAAACAAAAAATAATCACAATGAATTAGTTAATATGTGTTATTATTAGTGTCAAATGATATATGATGAATCTCTTGCTTACTTTTGTAGCATTCTTGCATGGCTTTCTCGATTGTTGTCATCAGACTGCTGTAGATTTTTTTCTTACGCTCCCGGATGATTTGGTTGAGTATTGTCCTAATTTTTTCTTCCTTTGAGAGAGAAAACAAAGTATAGATCATTATATTTTAAAATAAAGTTAAAGGTAACACAAACAGCATGATAATGGACTAATGGATTGAAGGGTAGTATTTTCATCTTTTACCTCTGTCTTGAGAAATATCAGTTGCAGTTCGACATCCTTGTACTTTTCAATCAGCCTCTCTGTTTCAAGTGAAAACGTATTGATGACCCCGTTCAATGGTCCATTTTTTCTTTCGTTTCTGAAACGTGAAGTTGAAATGTTTCATAAAAGGTAGTATTGGAGAGGATGGGATGGGATGTATTTTGAATGTATTATATTGCATTATCTGTATAATGTAGATTTTAATTGAATTAATTTCTTCATAGTTTGTAAAATGGACCAACAAAGGGTTTATGTCCCCACTAAGTCATTTCTTACGGGAAGGTCTTTCTGAACTCCTCATCAATGCTGTCAGTCAAGTATGAAGCCAAGTCCACATTGAGGTTTATTTGTTTTACTGTTCCGCTCTTTGGTTTGTATGTGCCATTGTTCAAAACTACACACTTCAATATCCTGTGAAAACCGCCACCTGATACCCCTATCTAAAACAAATAAGAAACATTTTAAACATGTATTTATTTGAGGTACAAAATCATTTGTTTTGATTAAAATTTAAATACGTACAGGATATAAGACAGACTCCACAACCCTTTCACATGAAAGCTTGGATTGTTCAACCCCCTGACTAAGGCATTTTTCAAAAGCCTCATAAGCCTCCTCCATGGGTTTTCTGACTTTATCAAGCTCTTTCCTCATGTGTTCTTCAAGGTCTGTGCACACTTCAGGTTTACCACTAGCCTAAAATCAAACACAACAAAAGTATTTGAAGCAATGAAACTATAATACTACCTGATTGGGATTTCTTTCAAAGCAGCATTTATGTTACTTGTGCTAGTAAAAAAAAAAATGTATGTGGTTTTTGCTACTACTATGGTTCCAACTGCTCAATTAAAAGACAAGAATATGATGTTTACAAATTGATTCCACAAACACTATAAGTAAAACTGTCACAAGGTCATTTCAATTCAGTTTTCGTTTTTGTTTTGTTTTGTTTCTGTCGTTTTCATTGAGCTTGGCATTCGCAAGAAACATAATTATTTTACTGTAACTAGCATTGTTTAAATTCATCATAAGTGTAGGTAGGTAGTACGTACATATTAGCTCATTGACACACCACTCATTGTCTACACCACAAAATAACGTTAAGTTGGCACTTCAAGTGAGGAGCTCAACTTATGTTGTAATTGCTGGCCAAACTTCAGTAACATTAAATGAGTAGTTCAAGAACACTACTATCAGTAATGTTATACAAGTGGAATTTGGAATAACAAGTACGTCAGCTAACGTTAGTATCCCTGGAAATAACATTAACAACGCCTAGAGTTTAGCTAATTGTGATGGCTAGTGTACACTAATTCGAAATAACTCAACTGTATCAAGATAATAACAGTCCCAGGCTTGACATATTGTCATTGAAGCCAATTAAGGTCTAACACCACTGTAAGCTATTCTTACCTTAAGGCATGTGGGAAGTCAAAAACTGACCTCCCAGAGACCCTCAAGTTCGCATCCCATTTATTGTTTGTTCGTTAATTTATCAATTCTGTAGCAATCGAGTACAAACACCCTTTAATTACTGTGGTTATGTAGCCTTCTTCAAAAATCAAGAAATCTACTACTTTGAAGGTCTTTATGTAGGGTGACATTACACATACTCTTGTAATTTGACTTCACCAGGTTTTCGCACATTTGACTTCAGTTTCTCTTAAGATTATTTATTTGCTATGAATATTATTATTTTCTGTCCATTAATGACAATTAAGAAAACTAAAGACAATGAAAGGAGTTTGATCTTACCACTTCTCTACAGCTGGCACCTTGAATCAGAGAGAGAATCCCATAAGCTCCAGACACATAGTTTAATGTCTTTGAGTGAGAGTCATTGAGATTTTGCAGAAAACTCTGAAGTTTGGGTATTTCTGTAAAAGAAAGCTGTTTGTCTCTTACATATTCACACATACTTAAATTTAAATCTGATAATGCAATTAGTCATGATTGTTTAAAGTGTTTAAAGTAAACTAAAAGAAAATATTTATTTTAGCTATACACTTTCCATTATAAACAAATATGCATATATACAGACTTCACCTACCAGTGTCGTCTGCGTTTAGACGTTTTTTTTTCAGAAACTCTTTGGAGCTCACTGTGAACACTTTGAAACTTTCATCACTGAAATGTTTCTGACAAAAAAAAGTTATGACTGTAAGGCAGGCTTGCAGGTGTAGACAATCTAAAATTTTCTTTCAGTCTATACAACTCACCTTAATCCTGTTTAGTTTACTGAATTCTTCTCTCACTTTGTCCTTGGCTTTACTGTTTTCTTTTAATATGAGAGCACGAACATCAGCTGCTGAACTATAAGAAAAGGTTTGTATTAAGTGGCTGTAATTATTAGAGAAAATTAGAGAAACAATTTAGAGACAGCTTTTTCAGTTTAGTTAGTTGGGGTTTTACATCTAGAGCAGGAGTCTCTTGATATCTTAAAGCAGGTTGACTTAATATCTTGACTGTAGACAAATATCACAGTTTTTCATGTTCAGCTGACCTACTGGAACTGGAATAATTCAATATAATAATATTACCATTTGTACAGTGTTTCCATTTTCCTATATTCTTACACATTTATATAAGATTACATACACACTATGTGACTATGTATTCAATCCTAAATCACTTACAGATCATCTGAATCTTCAATAACATCAGACTTGGTGCAGATAAAGTGAATCAGCTGACATTGGCCACCATTTCCCATCAGGCTACAGGCACTTTTCAGGATCTCCCAGGGTTCTTTCTCTGCTGCTGCTCGATTAATGTCAGTCACAATCCACACAGTAGAACAATTTCCAACAACCTGAAGGGGCATAATGAAGTTAATTATGAATAATTATCATTACATAATGTTACAGTTTCCAGATCTCACAGTAATACACAAACTGCATTTCATTACCTCTTTCCACATTTTATCTCTGCTCTTGTTACGGTCCCCATTTCCAGGAAGATCCACAAGTGTGACATGCTTGAGAAGATCATTATTAGGCACCCTGATAGTCACACACTTCACTAGTGGCCAGTACCAGCTCTTTACGTCTTTACCTTCTCCATCCGTTGAGTCACTTCTTATGTATCTGACAAATTGTTCAGATAACTCTTTTGCCTGCAATAATTAATAAAATAAAATTATTGAATGATTTTATTTATATGTGCATTCAAACTGCTTTACCTTAATTGAATTAGAACAGGATAAGATGCAACAAGAGCAATCAAAACACTATCATTGAAAGTAACAAATATAAATTGTAGACAGAGGAGGAGACAAAAGTAAAATTGTGGGTCATAGTGAACAATTAGGTTTAAAGATTTAAACACAGTTTGCAAGTATGTGTATCCAAATAGTGTAATTATTAGTATAGATTTTCTGTGTTTTGTGTTGACCCTTGATGGCCAGCAGCCCTTTCTGATGATTAAGTGTCCTTGAAGGTTCATATCAATTAAGTATGAAATAAAAGCCAGGTCTCAAATAATGGCCATGGGCATGGTTACCACAAACAAATAAAGGCTGGCCCATGTTATTGACACTGAGTTGTTCCAGATTACTCATCTTAAATGCTATTGTCACATTTTGTTCACTGAGTGTTAATGTCTTAGCCAAACCTTTGTAGAAACATACTGAAAATGCTTCAGAATTAAAGCCTCGAGTCCAGTACAACAACTGCATTACTGCAGACGCCGCTGACCCGTCTATCTCACACTCCATTATCCCCCCACTCATAAACAAGACCACAATACTTTATATACTGATTTTACTTTTACATTTGTTGAGCTTGAAACTGGATCTAGGCGGTATGTAAACTACATAAATAATTGAATTTTTTATCATTTAGTTCTTTCAGATGCTTTCTATGAAGGGATATATAAAATATATATTCTTACTGATTTACACTTCAATCTCTTCTTACTGGATATGTAAAACTCTGGAATTTCTTTAAAATATTTGTAATCCATGAGGTTTTCAGGGGATTTGTTTTTCCATTCTTCTCCATAAAGCGCTGACAGCTTTTCAACAAAGTCACGATAATCATCGTCATCTTCATTTTCCTGAGCTGCATTTTCCTCAAGAAAACTATGCAGGGACCACAACTCATCTTTCCACTCCTAAAAAATAAAATGGTAATTATGTTTAACATAAGTTTAATTAAATGGTTCAATGTAATGTAACCGGCAAATTATTTTTGCAGTTACATCATAACTTTTCAACTTGCTTCAAGTACGAAAACATATTAAAATGTTTACCTCTTTTGTGATGAACTCTATGTCTGCCTTGTACATTGGGCTATTCAAGTTAGCCTCAACCTTAATCATGACTGAGGTACATGCACTGACCCTTCCAGAGGGCAAGAGATTCTTCTCTCCAATGACAGCATTTATCAGAGAGCTTTTTCCAGCCCCAGTTTTACCAAAGACACCGACCATCTCCCTCTTGTCTGTCTCCAACTCACCAATTTTATCCCTGTTGTACAAAGAATTTAAATATAAGTGAATTGATTTATTTGGAAAATATAGAATATATACACTATTGTATGTCAAATGAATGTGTCAAAATTCGGAAGACATCCATCCAGGAAATGCCTACTCTAAACATTAGTGCTAAAGCAATCAATATTTTAATATTGAAAATGGCCTCAAGGACTATGTATGTATGTGAAAGACGTCACTCACAGAGGTGAAACCACACAGAATCATCACCAGACTTTGCAGTTTCCATCGGCTCTACAGAGCTTTATACTGTCTTTCAGCTCATTGTTTTGGTTTCATGCCCCCACAACTTGACTTTTTTGAGCCACTCTCGCTACTTTCAAGATTTGTTTCCAATGCAGGAGGCAGTTGATTTTAGTTTAAAAGCTCTAATAAAATCACTGCAGTACCTGCCCAGCACAAAATGGCAGACAGACAGAGCTAGCAACTAGTTGGTGAACATGGGACATTAAGCAGCTAAAGAGTCAAATGTTTCCCTCAGGAGATAGATGACACCAAAAGGATGCTAACACATTTGCATATCAACTTAGTGTTGTGTTCGAATCTGGTTCCCGCTGCCCCCAAGTGCGGTGAAGTGGCCAAAAAATACATTATTGTAGGTTTAAATACAGGTGTTCTCCAAGAAGAAATGCACCTTTATGCCATCTTTCACATATCCAGCTTAGCTTACCTGTGCATGAATCAACAAATACATGTTAGATCAGTAATAATGTATAAGTATAATGCAATCAACAAATATGCAAAGAACTGTACCTGATTAAGGGCATGTTTAGTGCAGCACTGTGCAGAACAAGATTCTGAATGAAATTCAGTTAATTTGAATGAATAATCATACATCGGATTTACTTTCCAAGAAGATCAATTCTTGCAGTGGCAGGAGTTGAACCGGGAGTAATATGAAAATGGAATATGGAAAACTTATAAACGTAATACTTACTTCAGGAATTTATTGAGCTTTTGGTTGCCTTGGTTAGGTATTCTCTCACGGACACGTTTCATGATTTCTTTCACATCAGACAGTATGATCTCTTCTGTCAGAGTAAAAGTAAAGTTCTATTCAGCAGAAACCATTAACCAGTGTATCCAGTAAGCAGTAATGCATAATGAGCAGTCTTGTTAGAGGCACTTCCTCTGCCAAGTCACTTTAGGATGCCTTAAAGGTGTATAATCAGAGTTATACTAAGTTATTTACTTAGTATCAGAAGCATACATTTTGTTACTATGGATACCTGCAGTTAAATAAACATTTATAGCATTCGTAACATGATGTTTACTATTTGAGGTGTTCTAATGAGATTTTAGCATACCCAGGCCAGCCAACAGTATTTTCTGGGGCTAAGATATAGAAACATACAAGTAAAAAAATAATTACATAAATGTTTTAACTAGGGATGTCCCAATCAAAGTTTCTTAGCTCCCGATCTGATCCCAGTCATTTTATATTGAGCCCAATCCGATACTGGTCTGGTTCTTTAGATAATACAGTGTGTAGTGCACAGTACATTAAAGTACTTTAAAGTTACTAAAATCAGTCCAATGCTTGACAATGGAATAGCTCTACATTGTATTAATGCACTGTTATTTCTTTTGTTTTGTTTTTTAGGTAATAAAGTACAGAATGACCCCTCAAACCCTTTGTAATCTTTTGGTCTTGTTGCTGTCTGGAGGGAATTTCTCTCTCCAGTTGTCTAAGTTATTACTATACTTTTTGCACTTGTGTTGGATCTCTACGGCTGTCTCTCCTCCACTGCTGAGTTTCACTGTAGGCAGGTCTCTCTCACACAAAGAGCTCAGCAGAGAGGAGAGGCGGGTACGGGAGAAAGTGGTTGCAGCATACATGAAAGCTTCACCAGCAAAAATAGCTGTGTGACAGCTGACATAAAACAAAAGATCAGATCCAGTCAGTAAAGCTCAATATAGCTAATACAGATCAGTTAAAAAAATTTATTCAATAATTATTGGTCTTTGACACCTAATTTGGACATCCCTAATAAATACCTGTAAATGATCCCGGTGTAGTGTCCCGTCGTCGTTTACTAGTTGGTGATTGCCGTCCGCTGGGCTCCAACTTTCTCTTTCCTAATTGGATTTTTTTTTATTTATTTATTTTTTAAATATGAAAAGCCAAAAAGAAAAGTTTATTGCATGTTCTTCTCACAATGTGAAAACATGATCTCAATAGTTGTTTAGTCAAATCAATATATTACTACCTTGGAAATATCAATGAACTTTACATGTAATCAATAAGATACTGTGTGTCTCACCTTTATCACTTGTGCCACTGGTAGATGGCCAAACCTGAGGGTAAACATGAATATTTGACTCTTACTACAATATTTTATAACTAACAGGCTTGACACACAATATTCACACAATATTAAAATGTTTCTGTCCAGAAAGGGGATAAGTAGGTCTGCCCCTGACCAAAGATTTTCCTAGTCAACTAACACTTCGTAGATAAAGCCAATAGGCGATTATTCGGTGCATGGTTATGATGTTCATTTAACAACTTGCTCCTCTTCCTCCATTTCATTCCTCTCCTGTCCCAGCCTGAACCCACCATCTTCATCCCCAAAATCATAGTCCTGTCCCCCTGTCCATAGGACTACTAACTAGCTAGTGGCAGCAGCTAATATAATTAGCATATGCAACAGCACACAATTAACGGACTCCCTGTTTTACAAGAGAAAGGTCCATGTTGCAACAATCCCCTGATACTTTTGTCCTGGTAAAAAGGCTCATTTTGTTTTTCTGTACCTATACCACAAATAAAAACTGATTTGACTAAGGCTCTTCGACTATAAGGGGCTGCCTTTGAGATACGTGATCACAGTAGCATCCTTTTGTACTCATTCAACAACACTGTGATCAGAATAGACAACTTTACAGTCAAAGATGACTCTGTCTCTGGACACTTTAGCCTCAAATGCAAATTTATGAAGAATAGCTTGTTCACTGATTACATACATGTGAAATTCAATGTTACCCTTACCTTAGGAGAATCACCTGGTCCTTTATGCTCCTGTTTACACTGCACATGACAGTAACATGGAAAGTGCAAGGTCATGTAAAACTTTGAGTGGACACTGAAAATATACTCTGTAGGGTTGTAATAATGCTTTAGAGGATAACTAACTGCATGAAACTGTATTCAACTTACTTGAGCAGAAGAATCAACAGTTCCCTGAGTTGTTGGGTTTTGTGCTTTCTGTTGACAAAATGAATTAGTTGTAAATCCATAACAGTATAGAAATATTATAAAATTCTAATAAATGCTATTAGTTTCAATGATATATAATTCTTTATCTGTTGGTGTTATCGAAACGTTTTATAGAAGTTCAGGCTCCTGTACACTGTAGCATGTATCTACATATGTGAGATTTATTTAACTAAATACAGTTTTTCTGTAAATTGTCTTGACAATGAAGAACTTTACCGGAATCAACTGCAGTTGCTTCTTGAATATTGCCGTTGGATCCTTTTTTGGGATCAGGTTAGTGATGCCTTGATTACGGACACAATAAAGACTCTCTTTTTTTATGCGTTCACCTGCAATTAAAAAATATTCAGCTGAATCTTAGTCATGCAACGACGAGAATTCAGGAATATAGCCAATACTGATCAGTTAAAAAATGTCTTGAATGGTGCTAATATTGATCTTTGAAATCAAATTGGGACATCCCAAATAAATACCTGTAAATGATCCCGGTGTAGTGTCCCGTCGTCGTTTAATAGTTGGTGATTGCCGTCCGCTTGGCTGTAACTTTATCTTTCCTAATTGGATTTTTTATTTTTTTTAATATGAAAAGCCAAAAAGAAAAGTTTATTGCATGATCCTCTCACAATTTGAAAACATGGTCTCAATAGTTGTTTAGTCAAATCAATATATTACTACCTTGAAAATATCAATGAACTTTACATGTAATCAATAAGATACTGTGTGTCTCACCTTTATCACTTGTGCCACTGGTAGACAGCCAAACCTGAGGGTGAACATGAATATTTGACTCTTACTACAATATTTTAAAACTAACAGGCTTGACACACAATATTCACACAACATTAAAACTTTTGTTTCCAGAAAGGGGATAAGTAGGGCTGCCGCTGACTAAAGTTTTTCCTAGTCAACTAACACTTCGTAGATAAAGCCAATAAGCGACTAGTCGGTGCATGGTTATGATGTTCATGTAACAACTTGCTCCTCTTCCTCCATTTCATTCCTCTCCTGTCCCAACCTGAACCCACCATCTTCATCCCCAAAATCATAGTCCTGTCCCCTGTCCATAGGACTACTAACTAGCTAGTGGCAGCCGCTAATATAATTAGCATATGCAACAGCACACCATTAAGGGACTCCCTGTTTTACAAGAGAAAGGTCCATGTTGCAACAATCCCCTGATACTTTTGTCCTGGTAAAAAGGCTCATTTTGTTTTTCTGTACCTATACCACAAATAAAAACTGATTTGACTAAGGCTCTTCGACTATAAGGGGCTGCCTTTGAGATACGTGATCACAGTAGCATCCTTTTGTACTCATTCAACAACACTGTGATCAGAATAGACAACTTTACAGTCAAAGATGACTTTGTCTCTGGACACTTTAGCCTCAAATGCAAATTTATGAAGAATAGCTCGTTCACTGATTACATACATGTAAAATTCAATGTTACCCTTACCTTAGGAGAATCACCTGGTCCTTTATGCTCCTGTTTACACTGCACATGACAGTAACATGGAAAGTGCAAGGTCATGTAAAACTTTGAGTGGACATTGAAAATATACTCTGTAGGGTTGTAATAATACTTTAGATGATAACTAACTGCATGAAACTGTATTCAACTTACTTGAGCAGAAGAATCAACAGTTCTCTGAGTTGTTGGGTTTTGTGCTTTCTGTTGACAAAATGAATTAGTTGCAAATCCATTAAGTATGGGAATTTTATAAAATTCTAGTAAATGCTATTAGTTTCAATGATATATAATTCTTTATCTGTTGGTGTTATCAAAACGTTTTATAGAAGTTCAGGCTCCTGTACACTGTAGCATGTATCTACATATGTGAGATTTATTTAACTAAATACAGTTTTTCTGTAAATTGTCTTGACAATGAAGAACTTTACCGGAATCAACTGCAGTTGCTTCTTGAATATTGCCGTTGGATCCTTTTTTGGGATCAGGTTAGTGATGCCTTGATTACGGACACAATAAAGACTCTCTTTTTTTATGCGTTCACCTGCAATTAAAAAATATTCAGCTGAATCTTAGTCATGCAACGACGAGAATGCAGGAATATAGCCAATACTGATCAGTTAAAAGATGTCTTGAATGGTGCTAATATTGATCTTTGAAATCAAATTGGGACATCCCAAATAAATACCTGTAAATGATCCCGGTGTAGTGTCCCGTCGTCGTTTAATAGTTGGTGATTGCCGTCCGCTGGGCTGTAACTTTATCTTTCCTAATTGGATTTTTTATTTTTTTTAATATGAAAAGCCAAAAAGAAAAGTTTATTGCATGATCCTCTCACAATTTGAAAACATGATCTCAATAGTTGTTTAGTCAAATCAATATATTACTACCTTGAAAATATCAATGAACTTTACATGTAATCAATAAGATACTGTGTGTCTCACCTTTATCACTTGTGCCACTGGTAGACGGCCAAACCTGAGGGTGAACATGAATATTTGACTCTTACTACAATATTTTTAAACTAACAGGCTTGACACACAATATTCACACAACATTAAAATGTTTCTGTCCAGAAAGGGGATAAGTAGGTCTGCCCCTGACTAAAGATTTTCCTAGTCAACTAACACTTCGTAGATAAAGCCAATAGGCGACTAGTCGGTGCATGGTTATGATGTTCATTTAACAACTTGCTCCTCTTCCTCCATTTCATTCCTCTCCTGTCCCAGCCTGAACCCACCATCTTCATCCCCAAAATCATAGTCCTGTCCCCTGTCCATAGGACTACTAACTAGCTAGTGGCAGCCGCTAATATAATTAGCATATGCAACAGCACACAATTAACGGACTCCCTGTTTTACAAGAGAAAGGTCCATGTTGCAACAATCCCCTGATACTTTTGTCCTGGTAAAAAGGCTCATTTTGTTTTTCTGTACCTATACCACAAATAAAAACTGAGTTGACTAAGGCTCTTCGACTATAAGGGGCTGCCTTTGAGATACGTGATCACAGTAGCATCCTTTTGTACTCATTCAACAACACTGTGATCAGAATAGACAATTCTTCAGTCAAAGATGACTTTGTCTCTGGACACTTTAGCCTCAAATGCATATTTATGAAGAATAGCTCGTTCACTGATTACATACATGTGAAATTCAATGTTACCCTTACCTTAGGAGAATCACCTGGTCCTTTATGCTCCTGTTTACACTGCACATGACAGTAACATGGAAAGTGCAAGGTCGTGTAAAACTTTGAGTGGACATTGAAAATATACTCTGTAGGGTTGTAATAATGCTTTAGAGGATAACTAACTGCATGAAACTGTATTCAACTTACTTGAGCAGAAGAATCAACAGTTCTCTGAGTTGTTGGGTTTTGTGCTTTCTGTTGACAAAATGAATTAGTTGTAAATCCATAACAGTATAGAAATATTATAAAATTCTAATAAATGCTATTAGTGTCAATGATATATAATTATTTATCTGTTGGTGTTATCAAAACTTTTTATAGAAGTTCAGGCTCCTGTACACTGTAGCATGTATCTACATATGTGAGATTTATTCAACTAAATACAGTTTTTGTGTATATTTTCTTGATAGTGACGAACTTTACCTTTAACAACTTGAGTTGCTCCTTAAATATCGCCCTTGGTCCCATTGCTGGGATTAGGTTAGCGATGTCTTCATTATCGAGACAATAAAGACTTTTCTTGGTAATGCGTTCAGCTGTAATTACAAAATATTCAGTTGAATCTTAATCATGCAACAATGAAAATGCAGGAATTTATTCATAATAATTGTGTGAAAATGTACAAGGTCTTTCCCAGAAATACATTTGTATTCTTTGAACACAGAAGACAACATGTGCCCAAATATGTCATCACCGATCTTTCCCATTGTCTTAAGCGTATGTCAACGATATGTCAGTATTTTCCTGCAGAACAATGTTGCAGCATTTGTTATATCTGTAGTAGTAGATGCTGAGATGTTTAAGTATCGGTATGCTATATCACCATTGTATAATATCTGTGCCCAACAAAGAAGCACGGTAATACTTTACCTTTAAATCTTTCAATCCACTCACTGAGACCCCATTCAGTTAATTTGTTATGAACAAAAACATCCATGACCAAAAACAGCAACTGGAAAGTAGACAAATAATTATATTATAATACAGTTCAGTCAGCTTAAACAGACCACCAGATTGGAAGGGTGTGCTTGGTTTGTGATTATGGAGAATGAGGTATGTTGTGTGTATAGCAGTGCAGGTCAAGTTGTCTGCCTGAACTAGCTCACAGGCGTTGCTCATATTGTTCTCAAACGTTTTTCATGAATGTACCCCCCTTTTAAATATTTTTCTGCCAAGTACTCCCTGACCAGCGGAAAAGATTTCAATAAAAAAAACCTCCTGTATAAAGAGTTACAATATAGCAAAACACTTAAGTGATACATTTCAAATGTGTAAAATCCATCACTAAATTCATCATGCAGTAACACAGATTCTCCACTTTTCTGCATTTTTTGTACAATTTAATGAGAAACAAGGACTTGGGCAGGATCTTAGTCAGCAGGGAGGCAACTATATAGTGATCAAACTCTTTCCAGAGGTTTTAGGGCCATTAACAGTTTACGGCAGTTGACGATTGCATTGAAAATGGCTTATATTGAATATAAAATATGGTTTATCAATCTGACGTTTACATTGTTTATTCAACTTATTGTAGTATAATTATTTTAGAATTATGCTTATGATGTTGATATTTTTTAAGTTAACATTACCAAAAAATCTCATTTCAGTACAGTACCCCATTTGAGAAACACTGTTTTTAGAAATCCATTATTGCTTTACATTTTTGGGACAGTTGAATTGAAATTGAAATTGAATTGAAAGAAAAAGAAGGGGTTATGAAACTGATTATAGCAAAAGTGTCCATTGCGAAGATTCAGGAAATATGAGTCAGGAAACAAGTTACGGCACAAATATTTGACCATCTGTTATTTCTTTGTGGACTCTATGTGAAAGCAAAATCAAATGTAAAGTATACTAACTGGAAAAACTGCTTAAAAAATACACTATCCTAGCATTTCAAGTATATAATATTGGATGTAAATTAGTAATAGATGCAAGCATTATGTGGTCTTGACACTACTACATCTCTGCCCAGATGTTGAGCGTTAACATCAGGGATTTAGCATGCGAGCAGGTAAATGGGAATCCACAATAGCAAACTAATAACAGATAATGTTCAATATATTGTAGCTGCTTATCTTTTGGTTATTGTTGCCTGCTATAGGCCTAAACTTTGTAAAAGTGTGTCACAGAATATCCTGACTGGGTTATCTTGATAAAACATTCCACCAACAACTAAATGGAAATTGTAAGATTTACAGCAGATTAAAAAAAAACAATTTACAGTACGTTATGTTTGGCAGATTTATTTTTATGTTTTAGAAAATGAGTCAGCAAGGGCAAATTTAACCAAAAGGCAACTGTTAGACATTAAACGGTATCTTCCTTTTATTCTCCACTACCTCCTGCCTCTCTAAAACTTTTCAGTTTTTGTCATAAAGGAAAGAAAGGTGTTAACCTTTACAGACATTGTGAATTAAAAAGAAATTGTAAATTTAAAGTGGCAGAATCACATATAGAAATGCTCTTTGGAAGTATGTGCATATTTGAGTATATCTACACTGTATAAATGATAAATCTCTAGCATATTAATGACTGGATTATTGATATAAAATAGTGACATAATGCCACAGTAGGCTTCTACATATAATCTTAGTGTTTAACTTTGTGTCACAGTCATATATTCAGCTGTGAATATAATGCATTGAAGTGTACTTACATTTCTCGTCTGTTCCTCTTTAATGTACAATCACGACTCCTCTGGTGCTTGATCTAATTTGAGCTCTTTCTTTTATATAGTCTCCACCTCTTCCTCATCTCTACCCACAAAACAGGTTCAGCTTTGTAAATATGTTGTAGAAACTTGAGTGGGTACCCTGGGGCGTTACTACGCACAACAGCAAGCATGATTGGTCCGTGTACAGATATGGTTTATAAATATCTCCACGTTTTTTGGCCTATGTAATACAATTACAATTTCTCTCTAATAACATACCATTAATTCTTAATTACTGCCTACATTTGATGGTTTTGTAGAATATGATGCATTGCTGTAGATTAAATTACCCAACAGTATATGAAGTAGTTTAAATGAGCTCAACCTTAAACATCTACAGCCGAACAACGCAACACACAAATTGCAGCAGGAATATTAATCCAAACACATCTTTTATAATAGTAAAACAGTTAAATAGGCACCATTTCACTGCACAATGACTACTTTAAGCTTTAAGGTTTTACATTTTGCTATAATACTTTTACCCTAGTAAGATTTAAAATGCAGAACTTTTACTTGTAGTGGAGTATTTCCACAGTGGGGTTGGTATTCGTACTTTTGCTTGATGGTACTAAATACTTCCTCATCTGGTTAGCGCACCCACAGCCTAACTGCACCTGTGTGTTACCGGCTGAGCCTCCCCCTTTAGGAAAGGTGGACTTGTGGGTAACCTGTGTGTGTTTGTTGTGGGCAGGGAGTCTTTCCCAATGTGTGAGGGGTGGTTACGTTACTTTAGTCAGCCATAAAGTGTGTAGTTAAGCTCAGGTTTCAGTATAATAGTTACTGAAAGACTGTGTGTTGTGTTTGCTGCCATAGAAAATGTCCCTGTTTATGTAAAAATGTCTTCTTTTACCCTTCACAGCACAGTTCAAGCTGGCTAGTTAGCAACTCCGAATGAGGCTACTGTAAATTATTTCTTTCCATTTATAATGTGTTGCTTATGTTAGACTTTAAGATACAGACAAATACTTGCCAAAAGCATGTCAAGTATGTCTGCCTGCTGTTTAGTGCTTAGCCGGTAGTGTACACTGGATAGTTGCTGAAAACAGCTGCATGATACAGCTGTAAATGGTGCTATTAGAGCAGTGAGAGGGAACCGAAACATTAAAGTTGCAGACAGGACTGCTAAACACTGAGCTGAAACTCACTATAACGGTTAAAGAAGAAAGAGCTGTAATACAAAACCAGTTTGACAGTGACATGAAAATGTGATCACATACACTTAATGTTGTTCAAATACTGAGCTGGACAGTTCTTGAATAAACCCTTTGCTTGTGTATTGTCATGTGGATTTTGTTATATTGTTATATTGTTATACTGCTAATGCAATGTATGTAGTTCGATTTTATCATCGGTATAACTGCATGTGATACTGCTGTGATACGTTGAATATTCCTTTGCACTGTATAAATCAGCATGCTTGATAAAAATCACATCATCAGTCGTGTGTTTCTTGTGCATGTACTGTATTTAGGCACATATAATACACTTACTAGTTTTTACTTCATGTGAACACTAGAGGGCAGTAGAAGTCAATGTTTTGCCGAACAGATTTATCCCTTCAGTATGCATGGAACATTTTAACATGGAAGTTTGAGTGATTAAAGACCTATACACACAACTTCACCAGCTGGAACTCTCTGCAATTAGTGAGTCAGATTTTCTCTGATTTATCAAAAGAGCAGGTACAGAGTGATCAGACAGAAATACGTCTTTTATAGCAGGACTAGAAAGCTCAGTACCACCAGTATTAACCGTCCTTACATGAGGTTGCATGTACTGCATCATTTCTGCATGTAAATGTGGCTCAATAATTATTACAACAGGGTAATGATCATGTAATTCTGTCCCAAACTGGAATAATATTATCTGCCAAAAATGTCCCCCTCCTTAAACACAGCTTAAGTTTTCATACATAAACTTTGTCTTCAATATCATCTAAATCACATAAAGTATTTTATCCTCAGTGGACCTATTAACTTATTATAGCCAGTGGTAATTTATCTGAATGTAACTGTGCACAGAGATCTTTAAATCGGCAGGTCCCCTCAGCTCTTCCGAGCTTTACACCATCTTCCAGCTCACTGTTTTGGTTTGGTTTTGGCTAGGTTTACTCTCTAGGCTTTGCACTCAATTCTGATTTATTGCTCAGATTTATTTGTTTGGCTGTTGGCATATTTTATTTTTTTTTAAATCTGTCTGGTATCAGATTCCAGTGTGAACAGTTCCTGAAGTGAACTGTGTGATGAATGTGGATCTAGAGTGACATAAAAGTCATGAATTCTGATGTGACTTTTCACACTGAGGTCACTTTGCAAGAAGTCTGTGGCCCAAATCAGAATTGACAAGATCAGAAACCATGGGATTTGTGTTGTTCACATTATCATCTGAGTCACATATGAGCAAAAGAATCAAATCTGGGAATTACTTTGGCCTGCAGTTTGAATGCAGCCAAAGTGGGGAACAGCAGAGCATTTAGCAACTTAAGAGCCAGACTTTTCCCTCAGGAGTCACAGGAGACTAAAACAGAGCTAAAAGAAAGTGCATATTTGACTTTTAGCCAGGTGACCAGAAACACAAGTTATTTGCTCTGTATCTGCTGGATGTGTAAATTATCAACTGTTAGCTAACAAGTTTAGCATATCAACTTAAAGGGTGGTAACGTACCAGTGTTGTGTTTACTGTCTCTGCTGTGTGCCAAACAAAAATCCTTTAATGCAGTTTTAAGGAACACTTTTTTTGTTGTCTTAGCCAGAATCAGATGACATAATCAGTCAGACCTCAGATGATAAGAAATTTGCCCTTTGCCCATCAGGAGGTAGGGCGCAGAAAATATGCAGACACTGCAGCAACAACGCAGACACTTGCAGAGGCAAATCACAGCGCAGGTATTCATTATAAAAAAAGTGTGCAAGGAAGGTATTCACCATCTTTCTAGGCAACAACAACTGTTGTAGTTGCAGAGCGTTTTGGGTACGATGCGTTTGAGTTTATTACTTTTTACATTTAGTTACTCTCTACATCACATACTGCTGTTATCTAATTGGTTGCTCTTTGAAAGGTCAGTGGCAACAAAGGTCAAAGTTGAAATAATCTGGCAACTCAGTCGAGCGGTGCACCACCCAAGCGTAGGGCTTCCACCTACCTTCTCCTGCCACTGCTCTCCCCATAGGGAAACAATGGTACAGACAGCACAGAGCGATTAAGACTAGCTTAGCCTAAAGACTGCTGCACGAAATACCTGTTAGTATGCCGCAATACTGTTCAACAATGTCACAGAATAAAGCCCCAAATACAACCATAGAATCAAATTAACACTTCTTTGACACTATGTCAATAATAGGGATCATAAAGATAGGATTTATTTCCAAGCTACTGTGTTGGACTGCAGAGGATGTAGCTAACTGCACCAAATATGCAGGCAAACAAAAGTGTGTTTCTGGGTGACTCTGCAAATGAGAGTAGAGCCAAACCCAGCTGACCAGACCTTTCCATGACCCTGCTCAGTGGTGACAGCTGCACCCAGTCTCTGTGGAACAACACACCATCCCAGAACGGGCCAAACAACAGTTCCTTCAAGACTTGGTCCCTCAAGACAGACAGGCAGTCAGACCTGGTCTTGAGCAGGACCTGACTAAGAACCAGCCACCCAGGTGTGCCCTGCTTGCCCCGGTACAACTACTCTTCTATTTACCACTTGTTTACCTCACTTTACCTCATTTCCCCTCATTTCCCTGGTCTATATTTGTAGTCATGCTGAGCAGTTGGGGGGTTTTCCTGTTGACAGGTAAATTCTCAAACATCAGAAAATACAGAAAAACAGATTAGTGGTCACCTTGACTGTGTGGATGTGAGAATTAATAGACAACAAAAACTGAGATCTCGCTAGAGGTCAGATGTACAAATAAACAGGTTGGTGCACCTGTGGACTATAACCAAAAATAGACCTGCAGGACACTTATTATTCTTTCCTGAGTGCAGTGTATGTGTACGTGTCTTTGTGGCATGTACAGCCACTTCCTCTGCCCAGAAAGGGTCATTTGGGGGGCATGGTTATTAAGAGGTACTGTCAGCAGTAAGAAACTAAACCTGGCTTAAATGTTGATGCTTATCTTGTTAAAACCTTTTATTATTCTCATCTCGTACGCCCCTAGACTTGCACTGAGAACCACTACACCATAACTAATGCTACTCCAGTTATTATAAGAAGCATATAAACACAAATGCACACTTATTAATTAGTTTACTAAAGCATGTGAATTACAGTATCACTAATGGTGCCCTTGAAATGTCCTTACCACTTCTTTAAAGTCGTTAACTTGTCTGAAAAAAAAAAATACCTACAGCACTTGCCATATGGTGCTAAGATCAAACCATAAATAGTTGAAAACATACTTTAGAGATACTGTCTAACTAGTTTATATAGTTAGCCTCATTGTGAAGGTTTCCTCGTTCAAAACAACCAAGCTCTGTAAAACAGAATGCCTTTAAAAGAAATTATACACACATTCATGATGAAGTCTAATAATTTTGGTCATCCCAGACTTATTATTATACTGCCATCATTCATTTCAATTTGTCCCGTACTTTGGTTTGATGACATTCCCATTACCCTCAGCTGTACTTTGTGTTTATTGCTAATTAGTAGAGCTGCACAATTAGTAAATAAAAATTGCAATATCCAAATAGCAAGAAGCTGCATCTTTTTTGACAAAGGTAAAATGTGTGACAAAACAGGATTATAATGAACTACTATAGTGCTGCAGAGATTCCCTGACCTACAAATCTTGTAATAAAAACATGTAATAAAACATGTTTGTTTGGTACAGACACCATCAAATGTCACAGCAACACGATTTTAATAGTTTTTTTTTTGTTTGTTTTTTTGTGAAAATTTAAATTGTGATGCAAAAATGTCCATCCCCACTAATCATGAATCACAGTATTTGTCCAATTAATCACAATAATATATATTCTTTGTCATATTGTGTAGACTTACTAATTAGCAAACATTATCATGCA